AGGACTATGTACCAGAAGATCTTGGAAGCATAACTAGTTTTGAGCCTCCTCATTCTCCAGAGTCAAGCTACAACAACTTGGTACTTGGAGCAGAGGATTTTGCAAAGGAGCCACCTTTGGTTCCTCCACACCTCCAAACGACACTGCTCAATCTGCCGGCATCAAACATGGAGATCTTGCCTCCATCAAGGCCTAAACATGTGATCCTGAATCATCTTTACATCCAAAAGGGGAGGAGTGGCCCATCCGTGGTGGCACTTGGTTCAACCCACCGATTTAAATCCAAGTACGTGACAGTGGTGCTCTACAAATCCTTGCAGAGGTAGTATTAGGCAACGGCTGGTCTGGACCTTGTAGTCTCCTGTCTTTAATGTAGTTAGTGATATGATTCTGAAGAAAGACGATCTGATCATGCACAAATTAGCTCAGGAGTCATATGGAGACTTCCAAGATTGAATCTTCACGTAAAGCAAATATTTAATGACATTCCATTCTCGCTATTGATACATTATTTGTATGGCCTCTATAGAAGGGAATCTCAGCTGTTTAATTTTGCAGAAACAAGCATGTACAGAAATGCAAATAGAATGGCCATGTGGCCAAGGCATATTCATAATTACCCCATTGCTACAAGGATAAACAGTTATTTGAAAACGGGGCATCCTTTAATTGTGATGCCCGGTGCTGTTGGACACTGCGCCAGAGGACAATGGTCTAGATCGGTACCCCACCACTTCAGATCGTGTCCCTCATTTTGCAAGGCAAAGAACAGCAAAACACCCATGAAAGCAGTGCCGGCATCCAGGGCAGCAGACAGAACGTAGTTATATTTCTGCCACCAGCGCTTGTGGTACTTGAACACAAAGTAGTTGAAGATGGTTCCAGTGATGAGCCAGCTTGCTATGTTTGTGGGAGTTGCAGGTGGCATTCCGGCAAAACCATAAGGTATAACCGGTATGTTAATCAGGGGAATCCATTTCTTGTCTGGGAAAATCTTGCTTAGCACCCAAACAGGTACGGGTAAGACAGCTCCAACAAGGAATAACCAAAGTACGTTGCGGTACAACCCTCCTGGTCCAAATAGTCGCGTTGGTCCAATAAGGCCCCATATAACAGAAGCATCAAAGGTTACCCTGTATTTAGGGCAAGTCCAGGGGCTGTCAGGATGGAGTGCTTCAACATCACAGATGTCCTGAATGCTGTCTAACATCCACCATGCAACTGCAAGGTTAATTGTGCCAGCAACTAGAGTCCCTACCAGCTGGAAGAAACCAAAAAGGGTTATAGTACTTCCATTTAACGAAAGATACTGAAAAAATTCATCAAGAAGTTCCTGAAGAGAAATACCTGAGCAGCGTACATACAACGTGGTGGAATTTTCATATAGTGCCCAAGTTTAAGGTCAGAGAGGAAAGAAAGAGCATGAATGGTACTAATTCTCCCATAGATCTTAAAAAGTAAGTTAGCAATTGGTTTTCCTGGTAAGAAATATCCAATTATGAACTGTGCTATTATGTCATATCCAGGTTGCTGCAAGGTAGCACAAGATAATTAAGACGTTAAATGCTACAAGACCAATAGATGAAACAGTCAACTTAAAATTGAGATATTCTGTCTGAGGGGGCTGAAAAATAAGGGTGCCTACCTGGTTGGTGGTAGCTTGAATGACCCCAATAGGGAGGGTAACCACCCAAGCCAATCCAAAGGCAAAGATCATACCCCACCATGGCAGCTGCACATCCTCCCACCATGGCAGCTGCACATCCTCTTTCCATATAAAAGACATAAGGAGAGATAGAACAATGCTTCCAATGAGTAAAATCAAAAACCACCATTCAGGCACTTGTTTGTAACTTTTCATCAATTTTGCATGGATATCCAGCTTCACATTCTTCATTGCTGATCTGCTCTGCTTCAGAATATCTCTAAAGAAAAGGAAAACTACCAATTTTTTTACCATAATTTTCGAGAATAATAAAGCTTTTTACACTTAGAAAATTATAGGGGTAGCCTACCTGCCATGAAAGAGTGCCACATGAGTGAGGGTTGCAGTAAATCTTGCGAATCCTGACCCAATTGACAGGGCAAAAAGAGGGCTAAGATAGAGCTTTCCATAACTGTTATAAGCAGCAACATCTAGATCATAATGTGGTGTCAAGATCTTGGTTGTATCATATTTTTGGCCATGGGTAGTAAACAGCTGATTTGAGAATATTGGAAATTTTCTAGCATCAAAAGTGTTAAACTTCCAGTAACACAGAGGAACAATTATGTAGATGAACATGACAAAGCCTATTCCAACATTGAGAATTGAGGACCAAGGTGTAACCAGTGGACTGCCATGATAAGCAGATATGCCTGCCCAATCAAGGGTGAATGCACCAACACCAAGTCCATGGTAACCTGAACCAATTTGCTGGGCTGTGATGCTCCGTGGCCATGCCCAGCACACCCATGAGAAGAATGTTAAGATTGGGAAGAGATAACCAGGGAAAGCATAATAAACAAAACTTGCTGCAAATGCAATTAGAAAAAATTGCATTCGAGTCAGGCCTTTCTTTTTCTGTTCCTTTTCATGAAGTGCCCTGTAACAAAGAAATGAACAATCAAAAGCAGAAGTTAGGAACATAATCATATAATCATATCTAAAACAAATAAAATTAAACATGGTAAAAGAACTACTCTAAAATATTATGTCCCATGACCTTTCAAAATAACTGCTTAATGCAAAATCTTAGTCATAGCAATAAACAAAATTAAGAAACTTGTCCCAAATCCATTTCTCAAAATAAGAAAGTAGCTGTTTATGTCCTCAAGAATATTATGCTTTTAAACATTCGACTTAGCCAAAACTGAAAACAATGTCCTAGTTCAATCGATGGTTTACCTTGCTCTATATCTTCATGCATTTGGCATCTCCATTTTGAAATTATTTTCAGTGACTTGTGGTTGGAATTCAAAAGTGGCAAATTTATTTAAAGTCGAAGGAATAAACCAACAATTACCAACCATTTCTGGCTGATTCAAGATCGAAAGGGATAAATAAAACAGTGTGACACCTGTCCCCTATATTGCCTAAATTTGCAAATATCAATTCCACTAAATAATTCACAAAATTTTCTTGGTACACACAATAAAGGATAGGTTTCCTTTACCAAAAAGTCTAAGATTCTGAAGGTTAAATTTCCTCTTTCTATCAAAATTTCCCATCAACCAAACAAAATAATTGTGAAAGGTAAAGCCAACCTGAATAGAGAAACCTGAGCAAGGTTTGCAGGCCACCACATCTCAGCAGGATCAACCAAGTACCTCCTAAGCATTCCAGCCCATCCATACCCCAATACCTGCAATCAACGCAACTAATTACCAAAAGAACCATAAAGCACTAATCCTTTCGTTTTTCCAATAAAGGACCCAAATTTTTAATTACCTTAATTAGAATTAAAATAAAAAATAGTATCAACAGAAAGACCCACAAACCTGAGTAGTCAAGACTATAAACAGAGCACAAATGAAATTCAAGCTCTGCTTATAATAAGCCTTCATAACGGTGATGGCTCCCATGGAATAGGCATCACCACCGCCGATGGCAACCCCACAATTAGCAAAAATGGTGACGATTACATGCTCCTTCATGTTGAAGGGGCCAGGATTCAAGCTGAATCGCCAACCCAGAAGACTGCACTCCGTGTTGGGCAGAGTACTCGCCATGAACTTGCCAATGGGCAAGACGGCGATTTGCATTAGGATTGCAGAGATGGTGAGGGGCTGAGTACGGTAGGTGAAGAAAGTGTTGAGGACGATTAAGAGGGTGCAAGAGGTCAGACCCAGAAACCACACTCGGAAAGTCATGACGGGTAGGGACGGGTCGTCGGTTTCTGGCACCACCAACGCCACCTCCTCCACTGGAGACCGGTCTTCATCCCCATTCGGCTTCTCCACGTCTGTTTGATTCTCAGTAGTAACAGCCATTGAAGCAAGAAAAGACAAGAAAAGGAAAACTGAAGTCGGTGAACTTTAGCAGTCTGTGCATGAAGCAGGTGGCTTGAAACCGGTTTGCGGTTGGGTCTTCGGCCTTCTGACTGCCGACTGTTGACTGTTGACTGCTGACTGCTGACTGTTGACTGCTGACTGCTGTTGCCCTCACATTGAATTTTTTATGACGATAATACCCTTTTTGGGAAAAACCAAATTAAAAATAATTTATTAACAATAACACCATTGTTTATTGTATTTATTTAAGGTTAAATACCCTTTTTGGTCCCTCTACTATAGGAAAAATCCCTTTTTTAGTCTCTGTACCGAAAAAATTCCTTTTTTAGTCCTTACTATTCACAAATCCAGCACATTTTTGGTCCTTCCGTTAATTTTTGCTCATGTGGCACGTTAACTTAACGAGAACAGCTGATGTGGATATAATGATACCCTCCACGTCACCCTCCACAAAAGAAAAGGTTAAATGCTAAATTTGATCCCTCAACTTTATAAGTTTACATTTTTTTGATCCTTAGATTATTCTTTTCACTTTTTTGATCTTTTAATTCTAAAAATTACACAATTTTGATTCTTTCATCAGTTAAACATGATGTGGCAATTAAATAATTCCATTTGACACTTTCTTTTAATTTTTTTGATGACATGACAATTATATATATTATAATTATGTTATATAGATAAATAAAAATATCACATAGATAAACATTTATATTTTAATTAAAAAATAAAATGACAATATGACCCTCACCTCCCAATCCCTCTTCTTCCCCTTCTTTCTTTCTCTTTTTTTCTTTCCTACCCATATCGACTGGGTTCCGACGAGTTGGGCAGCTGGGTTCGTCAAGCACTGCTTTCTATGCTACATCTCACTTCAAAACTTCTATGCAGAAATTCCTCCAAACCCTCCGAAATCTCCTAGCTGCCGCTGATTACCTTCCTTTTCCGTAACTCTTTCGCAAAACACGAACATGAAATCCGCTCCGATCGATCCGATCCCATCCGTCTCGATCATTTCATCCGATCTAATGTTTCTCGCTTGCTGAAATCCGATCTCCTTGCTGTTCTCGCTTGCTGGTCCTGGTCGCACGAACCCAATCTTGTTGGTCTTGGTTGTGCGAACCTAGCCTTGCTGGTTGCACGAACCCAACCTTGCTGGGTTCGTCGAAACCCAGCTGCTGGGTTCGCGCGACCAGCAAGGCTACGTTTGACCAACCCAAGCTCGACGAAACTAGCAAGGCTAGGTTTCGACCAACCTAGCCATGTTGGTCACACGAACCCAACCTTGTTGGGTTTCGACACTGAGTTCATGTTTTTTCATTTTTCTTTTAATTTTCATTTTCAGTTCTTGATAAATTTGAAAGTTGATTTACAATTTGATTGCATTTTTCTTATGGATTAGAGTTTGAATGATATTGTTTATTGAAGGGTTAATTTGATTTGATGAGATCTACTAGCTTGATGAACTCAGTGGCTTTAACGAAACTAGTAACTGAGTTTTGACGAACGCAGCATGGTTGGATTCGAGCAACCAGCAAGGCTGGGTTTCAATGAACCCAGTCAATCTTGGTAGGAAAGAAAGAAAGAAGGGGACGAAGAGGGGTTGAGAGTTGAGGGTAATAATGTAATTTTATGTTTAAATTAAAATATAAATATTTATCTACATAACATTTTTATTTATCTATATAACATAATTATAATATATATAATTGTTATGTCATCAAAAAAATTAAAAGAAAATGTCAAATGGAATTATTTAATTGTGATGTCATGTTTAACTGACGAAAAAAATCAAAATTGTGTAATTTTTAGAGTTAAAAGATCAAAAAAGTGAAAAGAATAATCTAAGGATCAAAAAATGCAAACTTATAAAGTTGAGGGATCAAATTTAGCATTTAACTTTTTTTTTTCTTTTTCCCGCACATGGAGGGTGACGTGGAAGGTATCATTATATCCACATCAGCCAGTCCCGTTAAGTTAACGTGCCACATTAGCAAAAATTAACGGAATGACCCAAAAGGGGCCGGATTTGTGAACAATAAGGATCAAAAAAAGAATTTTTTCGGTATAAGGACCAAAAAGGGACTTTTATTATAGTAGAGGGACCAAAAAGGGTATTTAACCTTTATTTAACTATTAACGAGTTGAACTTGTGTGTAAGACGGGTCAAATGCCAAAGTCAGGATTTGTTTTTGTGCATGTTACTGTTAATTAGGAGCTAGGTGTCAAGAATGGTCCTCTCGACAGATGGTACAAGTTCTTTAGACTTGCTGGGTCTAGTTAAAATCTTCCCCAGTTGAGCAAGATGGACAATGAATGTATATTATTTTTAGTGAAGCTAACATAACTATAATTTTTTCTTACAATGAAGTTTTTGTAATAACCATTTGCACCTGTGATAGTTGCATTTAATTTTCAAAATTGATTGAGTTGGGTTAACATTATTTTTTACTATGTATATAAGGTTTGTTTAAACTATATCTAAGTTTATATTAACAATTAAATCTTTTGTTTACGCTTTAGATTTTATTTATTTTTACAGTTAACACTTTAAATTAATTTTTTTCTAATCAAACATTTTTTATAATCCCACAAAAACCTAAAAATTATCAGTCAAATCTCTTATTTGTATTAAAAATTAATAATTAAATCCGTTATTTACACCTTAACTTTGTTGATAATCTAAAGTTTTTTGTGGATTTCAAATTATTATAATGTAAATCTAGAGAAAAATTAATTTAAGGTGTTGTTCGTGAAAAAAAAAAAAGGTCTAAGAATAAATAGGTGCTTTGGCCTATATTAATAGTATAATAAATATATATTTTAAATATTTATATCAATTAAAAAATTATTCTAATTTTAGCATCCATGCTATGTGAATGTTTTTAATTAAACAATTAATAAAATTGTTAACTTTTACTCTTTTTTTTTTGAACAAATATTGCAAGGGGCGGGATCGAACCCAGCCCGGGGAGGGGGCAAATGCACCGGTGGCTTTGCCACTAAGCCTTAAGGGCCAGATGCGTTAACTTTTACTTTTATGTGTATTAATAACAAAAAGATATATTTAATGTACTATTCACCTCCACAAATTTGAAAAACTCATATATATGTATTTATCTATATATATAACGTGATATAACATTAAAATGATTAACATTTTTTATTTAATAAGATTTATGAATCTATATATATCTATTTATTTGGTGTTACATTATATTATAAATAAAATATTATAGTTTATTTATTATTGTATTAATGAGTTAGAACATCCAATCATAAATGATCAAGTAAAAATTTTAAATAATATTTTTAGTTTTTTTAAAGATGCAGATTAAGGATATAATAAATTATATTGAAAAAAATTAAAATTAAAATTAATTTTATTAACTATTTAATTAAAATTATACACATGTTAATGTTAAAATGAAAGTTAATTTTTATGCTTTTCTTTCAAATTATTAAAAAAGTGAGGGCATGTATATTAGATAAATTAAAATTTAAGAATAAAAGATACAGTTATTCCACTCGAAAACCCCAAGATAATATAATGTGTGAATCCCTTTTTTTTTTTTTTTTTTAAATTATGAGCTGATCA